GAAAGCCAAGATCACAGATCGGTCGACTGCAAAACGGTAGCCAGCCTCGACGATCGCAAAAGGATGCTTAGCAACAAACGCCTTTGTTTCAATTGCACCGGAGGCAAACACAGGGCTGAAGATTGCAAAAGCCGTTCCATGTGCCAGATTTGTAAGAGAAGGCATCACACGTCCATCTGCAACAGCGTCAGTAACCAGTTAATGACAGCGACTTCAACGCAAAGACCAACTGTGATCTATCCAGTCGTCGTAGTGGAAGTGATGGGAGTTAAGTGTCGTGCGTTACTAGACACCGGCGCCGGAAGTTCCTACGCTTCAGCAGCGTTACTTGATCACATAAAGATTCGCCCTCATCAACGAGAAGTACGACAGATCGAAATGATGATGGGAGTAGTCACTAAGCCGGTGGAAATCTTCAAAGTGCAAATAAGTTCACTGCAGAGCGATTTCATCCTTGAAACGGACGTGACTAAGGTGAATAAGGCACAGCTTTTATCCCTGGAAAACCCTCGCTACCGGCAAGTCCTGGAAAGGTACGACCACTTGAAGGGAGTGAAGATGGACGATATGGACCCAAAGGATTACCTTCCGGTGCACCTTATCTTGGGAGTGTGTGACTATACTAAGATCAAGACTGTAACAGCACCTCTTATTGGAGCCGCAAACGAGCCTATTGCCGAGAAAACTAAGTTCGGATGGACCATTATTTCACCGGGCAAAGAAGTGGATCTGTCTCCCATGTTCCTGACGCAGACATCAACGGTAGATTACGACAACTTGTGCAGACTGGACGTGCTTGGACTGGCAGATTGTGCAACTGGTGACCAAGACGAGGTGTATTCAGAGTTCAAAGAGCAACTAAGACGAGATGATGAGGGTTGGTACGAAACTAGCCTACCATGGAAAGGGAACCACGCACCTTTACCAACCAACGAAGCAGGAAGTCTTCGCAGATTAACAGGCCTCGTAAAGAAGCTGCGTGGCCAAGGAATGATAGAACGTTACGATCAAGTAATCCAAGACCAAATCAAGACCGGGATAGTCGAGAGAGTTAGCACACCCGCAACTGGGCAGCACGAATTCTACATTCCTCACAAGGCAGTGGTACGCGACACAGCAGAAACCACTAAGCTTCGAGTGGTCTATGACGCGTCAGCACGGGCCTACTCTGGTGCACCCTCGTTAAATGAGTGTCTGAATCCTGGACCACCTCTTCAAAACAAACTCTGGAGTGTCCTAGTTCGTTCTCGATTTCATCCAATAGCAGTCGCAGGAGACATTAAGCAAGCTTTCCTTCAAGTACGAATCAAGGAGCCAGACCGTGATGCGCTGCGATTTCATTGGTTAAAGGACCCAAGCAGTCAAACAGTGGAGACGTTGAGGTTTACAAGAGCCCTCTTCGGTCTCACATCATCGCCATTCCTCCTGGGAGGCGTGATCCAGCACCTGTTGGAGAGTTGCAGACAAGACCACCCGGACATTGTCAGCGAGATAGAACGCAGCTTATACGTCGACGACCTCATCAGTGGTGGCCCTACCTGTGAAAAGGCAAAGGAAATCAAATCAGCTTCTCAGGAAGTATTCGCCAAGGGCACCTTCGAGTTGCATAAATGGCATTCGAATGTGAGAGAGTTGGAATCGGCCGCCTCTGAACCAGCCGCTTCTGAACCAGTCTCGATTGAGGAAGAAACGTATGCAAAGGAGCAGTTAAACGTCCCCAGAAGAGAAGGAGCTACCCTGCTTGGTTGCCATGGGACAAAGCAAACGATACCATCGGAGTAAGTTTTCCACAAGAAAAAGCTGATCCCAGCAAGCGGGGAATCTTAAGCAAAGTGGCACGGATCTATGACCCACTGGGATTGGCCTCTCCTATCTCATTAGGCGGTAAGCTCCTCTACCGTGACGTGTGTGATGCCAAGCTAAACTGGGATTCAAAGCTACCAGGCGATATGATGCAGAGTTGGATACGATGGGAGAAGCGACTTCCCGAGCAGCTTACAGTTCCGAGATCTTTAGCAGCCCATCAAGAGGACATTCAGTCAATAGAGTTGCACGCATTTGGTGATGCCAGTGGGAAGGGCGTGGCCGCGGCTGTGTATGCTGTAGTCAATCAAGAGTCGGGCTCAAATCAAGGGCTCGTGGCAGCGAGAGCGAGACTCTCCAAAAAGGGGACTGACGATCCCTCGGCTAGAGTTGGTGTCCGGACATATGGCAGTGAATCTCTTGGTAAACGTGGCCTCCGCCCTGGACGGATTTCCCTTACCGAAAAGTACTGCTGGCTCGATAGCACCGTTGCCCTGCACTGGGTCAGATCCCCAGGCACATATAAGCAGTTTGTGAGTAACAGAGTCGAGAAAATACAAGCACATTCAGGCGTGACTTGGCGGCACGTAGGGACCTTGGAGAACCCTGCTGACCTTGGAAGCCGTGGTGGAGAAGTGAAAACCATCCCTCTTGGAGCAACGGGCCGAAGTGGTTGAAGAACAAAGCGATCTGGCCTCCAGACATTGTGACTAAGGCATCAGAGGAATCAATGGCAGAAGTGAAAGCAACAAGAGATGTTTTTGCTGTGGCGATAGCAACTACAGATGAGCTAGACAACCTTCTTGAGAAGTTTACCTACTGGAGGACAATGAGAATCTGTGCGTGGATAATGCGGTTCGTTCACAACGCTCGTTCAGAGAAGATACAAAGACACGAAGGACCGCTGACAACTGAAGAAACTAACAAAGCGACAATCTTCTGGGTGAAAAGAGTCCAGACCAGAGCCACAGCAGACAAGCATTACGAAGAAGATCGGTTGCAACTGAATCTGCAACCTAACCAAGACGGCGTGTTAGAATGTCGAGGCCGAATACAAGGGCATTATCCGGTGTATTTGCCCGAGAGTCAGCGCTTCACAGAGAAGCTCGTAACACAAGTACACCTTGGGACGCTCCACGGGGGAGTCGTCAGTACCATGGCAAAGGTACGAGAGCTGTACTGGGTTCCGCGCCTTAGAAGATTGACAAAAGGAATCGTGAAGAGTTGCCACGGCTGTCGGCGGTTTCAAGCCCAAGCGTTCTCGTCCCCACCCCAAGGCGACCTGCCAAAGGATCGGACAGAAGGTTCTTCACCCTTTCAAGTTGTTGGAGTGGATTACGCGGGACCCATTAAGTATCGTATAAGCAAGAACAGAGAGGGCAAGGCGTACATCGTTCTGTACGCTTGCAGCCTGACCCGCGCCGTGTACCTCGAGCCGACCAAAACCTTGGAGACGGAAGAGTTTATCGGAACTCTCAAGCGTCTCATCGCCAGGAAAGGTCGCCCGGAGAAGATATACTCCGACAACGGGAAAACATTTGTGGGAGCAGCAAAATGGCTGAACAAGGTGATGAAGGATGAACGTCTACACGACTTCCTTGCCAAGATAAACGTGAAGTGGCAATTCAACTTGTCCAGAGCACCCTGGTGGGGTGGACAATTTGAGAGACTGGTGGGACTCGTGAAGCGAGTTTTCTACAAGACAGTGGGAAACGGAACGCTCACCTGGGACGAGCTACAAGACGTCCTGCTTGACGTCGAGGTGACACTCAACAACCGACCGTTGAGCTACCTAGAGGAAGACATTCAGCTACCCATCCTGACCCCGAGCACCTTCCTTTATGGTCAACCGAACATGCTTCCAGAGTTAGAACCTCATCACGTCCAGGAACACGACCTGCGGAAGAGAGCTAAATATTTGAGGAAGTGCAAGGATACACTATGGTCACGCTGGACAAGAGAGTACCTCCGCGGACTGAGAGAGAGACACCGGCTGAAGTACAAGGGAGACACGACCTATCCATCCAAGGGAGAAGTCGTCATCATCAAATCAGAAGAGAAGAATCGAGCACAGTGGAAGTTGGGAGTCGTAGAAGACCTAATCACCGGCCGTGATGGCGTGATTCGTGGGGCAAAGCTGAAAACTGGAAAGTCACGCCTGGAGCGCCCAATACAGCATCTGTACCCTCTAGAGCTGAGTTGTGACATGCCGATGCAGAACCCACCGGAGCCGCTGAATCCAATGGCGCCAATCTACAGGCCGCAAAGGGATGCCGCAGCAGCAGCCAGAGTTCGTATCCAGGATATGAACGAGGACGAACAATGAACTGAACAATGCATAAATTTAAGAACCCCAAGAACTATGAACATTACGAGTGAACTTTTATATTTTTTGAGCATTTCATGCCAGATGGCACATTGATTTTAAAACTCTAATATTTGTTATGTTATGATGCTGCTTGGTCAACAGACTGCAGTTCGAGACTCTTAAATTCAACGACTGATTTTCTATCTGTTGATTAAGTTCTGGACATTTGCTCTCTCGAAGCAAATGGGGGGAGGGTGTCGTAAATCGCGTGTTTACATATGTAATCAAACCTCATATCGCATATAGAATTTGATTGTTAAGTGACCGGAAAGAGATAGGCATCGAATCTGCCAAATCAAAGGAAACATAAAACGAATGGCTTTATCTTTCGTTGAAAAATTATCAGGAGTTGTGTTGTAATAAAACCGGGGATGCTGTGAGTGAAGAATATATGTTTAAAACCTTACATCGTGAGTGAGTGATTTAGGACCGTTTAGCGCGAGTTTATCGGGACAACAGTGTGTTGCAAGCAAATATCCCATTCCCAACATCGTGCCTTCCCTACAATTCTTTCAGTTTATTACCACTTAAGTCAGTGACCAGGAATAACTTTCATCATACAACTCCATAATTAATTAATTTGTTCTTACCAGCCATTGCCTATCTATAATTTATTTCTTTACATTAGATTAGTTCATCAGCTCGGCGGATAACCAGCTATCAAACTGAACGAAACCACCTCCCACCAATAATTGCACGGTAGCAGTGGCCGACTCAAAAAGCTTTGCTCCTTTGGCCATTACTCACTATTCCAATGTAATACTTAATTTGTCCCATGCAGGGGGAATCTAACTGTTCGCTCTGCCAGTCTCGATTACTGCCCTTCGTATTAGGACTCTACTGGAACCCACAGCAATTCGTCATCGTTGTCTTCCTGTTCCGGTTCTATTTCCTGAGTAAATTCGTTATCCTGCTGGTTGCAGCCATCTGTAACTACAACGGCATCAGTCCTCGGCCATGGTGTACGGGCCGACCACAAGGAATTGAATGAACTTGAGGCTGTCATGTCTGTTATGCGACCGGAATAACACGAGCACGCATTGCTTCCTCGGCGATCTATCTTCGTTACGTAACCAGTGCGAACTGAGTCCGAAGGAGTGTTCACGCTTCTTGAGTCGATATCACTTCGCAGCTCTGAATAATTAGGCTGCCTATTTCTTCGTTTGATGTAAATTCCGAATGAGATGCAGCACACTGCAAGGGCTAACAGACCCGCGATAATGACCGGGCCAGCAACTCTGAGGTCGTCATTGGAATTAAAAAGTTTGCGAAAACGAGGAAATACGTACCACAGCAGTGTAGCCGCAATTGCCAAAAAAATGAAGAATATTGCTATGATCACAAAGCAACAAAACCCGCTGCAGCAAGGAGTACAACTACAGTTGAAACATCCACAGCGAACACTACAACAATCATGGAACGATGTAGGCGTCGGAGATCGTGGAATTACTATGTAACCATCCGAGCTAGACTCAAAGTCAGTCAGTATCTCTTCTGGCTGTTCATAGTGCCCCTCTATGTATCTTTTAACCATACCGACTAGATCTCGTCTCTTCGGCCTCAACTCTTTAATAATTCCGAGTAGAAATGCCATCTTCCTGGGTTCTTCTCCGATTGCGTTTTGTCGGAGAAGAATACTGAACACTTCCCAGCCAGATGTAATTCTCTCTCGTTGACCGCCAGGTATAAGCTCTCCGCAAACGTGTACCAGACTCTCAAGATTTCTTTGGTCTAGTTCACCGTTGAGGTTGTTTAGAAGTATTTTAAAAGGACTGATTGAAACCATGATTGAATTTTCAGCGACAGTTCTGTCGATCTTTAAGCGCTTTATGCTTTGTAACTGTGTAAACCTAACTTCCGCTTTTTTAAAAGCGGAAATTTACGTATGCCCTTTGCGACCCCCCCGCGAACAAAACATGATGCCATATCTCAACCTCTTGAGAATCTTGTCACGTCATGTGGCAAAAACATTATCATTGCTCTGTGATGTACAATATTTTACTTACCTTACAAGAGCCCTACCCCAATCCCATGTAAGAAAGGGGAATCCCCCAAATTACACGGTCATTAAACGTCGCGTTACAAGTCACAGCACAGTGATTTTGATTAACCGCACGTTTCTAGTAGTGTTTTTAC